AAAATGTGCACACTTCATCCTGGATCTTCGAAGCTTCCCTGCTTCACCAGTGTCCTACTAAAAAAAAAACAACGACAACCCCTACTTCCTGTTTCCTCTCCCCTTTATAGAGAAGGGCTCCAATCCTCCCCAATCAGCTGCTCCCTGTATTCAACTCCAAATAGCTGGCAGCTGGACTAGAGTAGAATCTCCACTCCCACATGGGTGTGGCCCACACCTCACATCAAACACAAAAAACACCAAAGCATGCAATTAATACAAAACAAAATCTAAAGAAATGCCAACCCAAAAGCTTAGTGGGGGATTCTCTCCATCCTTTTCCACCATGCTATACTCTGTAACAGCTCAAAAAACATTTGGCTGTCATTTGGGACACTATGTTGAGGGACTTGAGCCAACCCCGTGCAGTGTTTTCAACCCATCAAAAAGGTCTTGGCAGATTCGGCAGGGTATGCCTAACCGTTATTATGGTGCATGGTAGGTGATATGTTTAAAAGCTGGGTAGGACGTTCTGTGACAAACCACTGGTTTGTATTTATGGGAGGGGGTGTTACGGCCCTAGCTGGGCCTCCTGATACTGCCCTTGTGTGGGCGTGGTGTTTCTCTCCGCCTCCTCCTCTTTTGCTCCACCCCTCTGTCTCTCTCTTGCGCTCTCTCTCCCCAGGACACAGCTGCTGCTCATTTACCATCTGGGCCCAGTCAGCAATCACCTCTCTGAGGTCATATAAGCTGGGGATGAGCTGTGAGCAGGGTGTGGGGGTGTCTCTGCTTGGTGTGTAGGTAGCCTGCCTGAAGTGTGGAGTTGTGGAAGCAGTATAGCTGCTTTACGTGAGTAGTGTGGGCTTGTGGGCCTTGGCAGCAGTAAAGCCAGCTGCTGTTAGTGACAGGGTGAGCTTGTGGGCCCCTAGAAGTGCCTCCTCGTGGTGTGGACTTTTTGTTTGGTTGTTGTGTTCTTTGTTGTTGCAACCTTTTTTCCTTTTTTCGGCATGTTATTGGTAATACGGCGTTGCGGCTCCTTATGTTATGATTATCTATAATAAAGACTATGTTATTTACTAAGAACACCTGTCTGTTTTCCTTTCATTCTGTTCTGGACTCATTTGTTACTGGTCCCCTCACTCGCATGCCTAAACCCCTTCGGGGGGGACGTAACAGGATGGCAGCAACATAGTTGATCAATAGCAGAATGGTTGTATGGGAGAAGTCTGTTCACACTCTTAGTTTGCATTACGAGTTCTGACAGCCCACGGGAAGAAGCTGAAGATGATGTTGCAGGGGTGCATGGGGGTGCAGTCATTAGTGTAGATGGTGTGTAGGAGTGGACTCAGCACACATCCCTGTAGTGAGCCAGTGCTGAGTGACAGGGTGGATGATCTCTGGTTGCCAACCATGACTGATTGTGAACAGTCTGTGGGAAAGTTCCATACACATGTGGGGGGGAGAGTCCAAGTTTACCAGCTTGGCTATAAGAATGTCTGGGATGATGGTATTGAAGGCCGAGCTGAAGTCAATGAAGAGCATCCTTACTGATGTCCCAGGATTCTCCAGGTGATGGAGAGCGGAGTGGAGGGCAGGGACAGTGGCATGTGACAGGGAGAGGTTGAATAGTCTGGTGAACTGAGGAGGGAGCAGGACAGCGCAGGCTTTGAGCACTCTTACCAGGTATTCCGTCAGGGCCAGCAGCTTTCCTTTGATTAACTGCGCTGAACACATTGTGAACCTGGTGTTCTTGGAGGCTAAATGTGTGAGGGCTGTGCTCAGAGGAGGCTGTGGGCAGGGCGGTGTGCATGGTGGGGGTGACTGCAGCTTTCTCGAAGCAGGCAAAGGAGTGGTTAAGTTCCTCTGCTAATGAGATGTCCATGTTATCTGTGTTTTTCCCATTGCACTTGTAATTGGTGATGTGTTTCAGGCCCTCTCATACCTTTCTGGGGTTGTTATCAGAGAGGTGATCTGATAGCTTGTTTGAGAAGTCCAGTTTTGCTGCTCTGATGCCTTTTTTAAGGTCTGCTCTTGCTCTGCTGTACATGTCCTGGCCCCCAGATTTGTATGGCGAGCTGCGTGCCTTTAACAATGCCTGAACCGTACTTGTCATCCAGAGTTTACGGTTGGGTTAGACCTTTTCCGTGGTGACAGTGTCCATGCAGTGTGTGATGTAACCCAGCACTGTGGATGTGTGAGTCTCTAGGCCATCATGTTCAAAGACACTCCACTCTGTGAGGGCAAAAGAGTCCTGCAATTGAGCACGAGCTTCCTCAGAAAAGGTGCTAATGGTTCTGATGGTGGGCTTTGTTCTTTTCCTGAGTGGTGTGTATAACAGGACGATGAGCAGAGAGAGGTGGTCGGACATACTCAGGTGGGGGAGGGGAAAAGATCTGAAAGCTTGCTTAATATTTGAGTAAACATGGTCCAAGGCGTTATTCCCTCTCGTAGGGCATTTCACATGTCGAACAAATTTAGGCACAGGTCTTAAGCATGCTTTGTTGAAATCCCCTGCAATGATACTCCTTCTGGATATTCCCATTGCTTTTTGGAGATTGTGTCGTGCAGGCAGGCAAGGGCTGAGCTAGCTTTAGCGTCTGGTGGTAAGTAGACTACTGTTATTAGGACTGCAGGCAGTTCTCTGGGCAAGTAGAAGGGTCTGCACATGACAGACATTGCCTCTATGCCTCGGGAGCAGACTGTGGTGATGATCTTAGTGTTTGTGCACCAGTTGTTATGTGTGTAAATGCACAATCCTTCTTACAGTCTGTTTGGAGAGACCTTCTAGGTAACTGTTAGAGAGCCTTGTGTCTCTGGGAGCCTGGAATTGTCACTATAGTTAACTTTTGATGGTAGCACATTTTGAAATGGAAACAAACTGCACTGAAGGAAGTTGAGAGTTGAAAGTTGAGACCTGTATTAGTTGTTTTCTTGAAATGATCAGCATGGTTTTGATCACGATCAGTTCAAGACAGACCAAATGTGCAAAAATATATATTAGAACTGCTAAATGAATTCAAGTTGAAAGTGTAGTTTATTAAAAGAGTTTCAATTATATTTAATTTCCGTAATAGGTAAATTTTACAGTGCAGTGTAACAAAGTCAATGCTTTTCTTTGACAAGTCTGGTTGTTTTGTATGTAAACTGCATTTTAAAAGAACAACAAACATAAAAAACCGACTAAATAACTGTCTTTAATATTTAACATTTGTTCATTTTAATTGTTTATTTAATTTTTGGTCAATAGAGTGCAAAAAAAATTTTTTTTTTGACTTGAATTGAAAATTTTATGACACAATCCCACGGCCCATAACAGCTTTCTTTGTGTTCATCTCTGGTCTCAACAGGATTATGTAACATTTGGGTCCAAACAGTGTGATCAAGAGTCCAAAACTTGAAGCAAGAATGGCAAA